AGTTTTCTTTTTTTCTTTTTTTTTTTTAATTCAGGACCAATTTAAAGACCTACACGAAATTAAAGATCTGCACGAAAGTTGAGGAACAACATTAGAATAAAAACAATTAATTATTTTAATAATATGTTAAGTTGTATAAAAAAATAAGATAAAAAAATTATATAAATATTATTTCCCCGATAAAATGCAACCGGCTTCCCAGAAGTACGTATGTGGCCCTTCAATGGCTAAGGTTCAAACCCACCGTTCCGCACCACTTAATTCTGTTTATTGTATGTAAACTAAATACTAAAATTCACTCTAAATTTATAGTTAAAATTTTAAGTAACTTTATTATCAAATTACGATGATTAATGAAACCGTCCTATTTGCCATCCCCATCCTCCCAAGCTGCAACCATTAAAATTTCAAAGGTCCAAATTCTACCTTTTCTACAATAGACGTATCATCAAGCTTTTATAAATGGATTAATATACAAACCTCTTCATTTTTTTATATTAATCCATTAAAGAAACTATTTTTTATTAATAAAAACTTGATTAAGTTGATAGTTATTAACTTAAAATATTAAGGTTCATATCTCTATATAATATTATTTTGAGTAAAAAAAACTTAATTTCTCTTAATTAATAAGACTTCGAATTCGAACTTTTTGAATAAAGAAATAAGTGTTAGAAGAGTTTCTCCTTTTATGGAGTTCGATGCGACTTGATTTCGAATTAAACAGGATTCAATGTAATTACTATATATTGAGAGGTTAATACAAAAAAAAAATCTCTATATAATACTATTAATAACTTAAGTAGTTTATTATTTTTTTTTTTTTTAGTAAAAGTAAAAGGTTTTAAGTTTAAGTTATATGACATATTAGTGAGTTGTGAGATGATTACCTCTTATTATGTAATTTAAGAGGAAAAAATCCCAATAACACTAAGTAGTCAACCCTTTGATATAAAAAAAAAACCATTTTATTATAATAATAATAATAGGAGGAGGAATCTATTTATATAAGAGCCTTATATATTATATTTAAACAAAATATTACTTATTTATCTTTCTAGTTTTAATGATTGAGATTTATTATAATTTTATTGTTTAAGATTTTTTCAAGGTTAAAGAAAAGTTTAAAATATATGTTTTCAAGAGGAAAATTTAAATTTATGAAATATAAATAGTATCAAAAAACTGAAGTACTTACAAGTTTCACCAATATGCTCTAAGTATAATATGTAAAATTTGTGTGTAAATGAATTTCTACTTTAATAATAATATAATTGAACAAATTACTCCTCATTATTGACAAGAGAATTGATTTTTTGAAGCAATTATTAGACTAATATAAATTAATATAATACAATAAGAGATAAGAAATTACTCAAGTAGTTAGCAACTTTTTTCTATTTGAAGTAAAAGATTAGAAAATAGTGTATGGCAGATCATCTTCTTAAATGTTTTTTTGAAGAATTTATCAAAAATTCACATTTTAATTAATATTTTTAAAAATTAACTTTTAAATTAAAAGTTTTATTTATATAGATTATGCATGTTAATTTTTATATTAATTTAACAATTATAACTCTTAATAAAAAAATTTTATTTATTAATATATATTTAACGGTGTTAAATTTTTTATAATCAATGAAATTGTTAGTCATATTAAAACAATTTAAAAATTAATATGTATGATTTATAAGAATAAAATTTTAATTTAATATTTAAATTTTAAAAATATTAATTAAAAAATAAATTTTTAGATAAATCCTCTAAAAAAATTTTAAAAAACCAACCTACAAAATATTTATTTCAAAAGATTATATATATTTAAGAGGCCGGCGGGTAAACGATAGAGATGAAATCTGTGGCTGGGACTGGAGGTGACAGAACCCGATCCTAAAGGATGGTATTGTTTGAAAGGATTTTTTTTTTTTTTTGAACAAGTTATCGAGCCCACCTACAGTAAAAGATGAATACACCTCAAGTTGACAGATTACCAGTGGACCTGAACGACCAAGTGCATATTGTTTGAAAGGATGGTATTGTTAATTTGTAGAACATTAGCAGCCCCTTTATACTATGACATTTTTAACTTCTCACTTATTAAAATTGTATAAAATAATCATCATTTTATAATATTTTGATCATTTTATAATATTTTGTTAGTTTTATTAGTTGACTATTAACTCTATTAGTTGACTATTAGTTGATAAAAATATTTTTATTGCTAACAAAGTTAACATAACTAATTTTATAATATTTTGATCATTTTATAATATTTTGTTAGTTTTATTAGTTGACTATTAACTCTATTAATTGACTATTAGTTGATAAAAATATTTTTATTACTAATAAAGTTAATATAACTAATTTTATAATATTTCGTTAATTTTTTTAATTGAATATTAATTAATGGTTAGTTGACAAAAATCTATTTTTAATTAATAGAGTTAACAGTTAGTATAAAGTAAGAGTTATTTTTTTTATTTTAATAAGTAAAGGGTTAAAACTCACTAATCTAGTAAAGTGAAGGATTAAAAGTGTCACAAAATAAGATAAATGTTAAAATCTTCAAACTTAATAAAATGAAAGGCTCAAAATAGGTATTTGTAATTACCAAAACACAGCAGGTCAGAACTCACACGTGCCTCACATGGGGCTTTCCTTTTTCTTCTTTTTTTCGTAACATAAGGAATTATAGAAAAATTAAAAATTTTCAAGTAATCCATAAAAATCGAACTCCATTCAATTTAACTAAATTCTTAAGATTTGGAACAAATTATTAAACTCGGAACCTCGGTTCTCACACATGGAGCTGTTTGTAACATCGAAAAGATCAAACAAACCTGTCGGTGGGGTCCCCTATTTCCACCCAAAAAAAAAAAACTTGTCGGTGGGGTCCACCGTCCGCGTCATGTCTTGTCGACTCTCGCTTCTGCGATCAGTTTCCCATCGTTGACCTGCACAAAGGGGTGCTCCCTTCCATACTCCGTTGCGTTGAATTTGCCATGTTTTTGTTTCATGTATGATCCATATACAATACACCTTCGCAGTGCCACATTTTCAAGCGAAGAATTATGGATTCAATTAAATTCCCACTTCCCTATTCATATTTATTTCCTTTTCATTTCAACTCCCATTTCTATCTTCTTTTTTTTTTTTTTTAACATATTTGCAAGGGCGGGTTTCGAGCCCAGGCCGAAGGAGGAGGGAATGCACCGATATCTATTGCCATTAGGCCACAAAAGGGCAGGTGCCCCATTTCTATCCTCTTTTTACTTTCTATTGAAAGAATAAAAAATAATTGCCAAGAATTTGTTGCCATGAATATTAGCCATAGATAGTTTGTTTGAACAAACAGTGTGTAGTACAAATTCTTTCCTTGTACTTCCTTTTGTAGTACAAGAAAAAGAGTGGTGGTGGAAGTTACCAAAGTTTCTCACCATGCTGGTGAGCGTGTTGTTATAAATGAGCCATCTTTTTGCAGCATGTTGACATGGGTCTTTGCTAATTTCTGAATTTGGAGACACACATTTGAGGGTCTTGAAAATCTCGAGCATCTAATCCTCTGGAATAGTCTGACGCAATTCCATTTTTTGGGGGTTTGTGGTTTGCTTATTTAGTTTGAATTGAGAGTCTCCATTTCGGGTCTGATTGGCTGGTTGCTGTTATTCTTTCTCTTATTTTTTAGGTTTTAGCCAGGGAAGGCAGAGAAGAGGATTCCGCCAAAGGTCAGTTGAGAATTACATTGATTCTTTGGTTATGCCATTTGATTTGATTAATCAAAAGAAAAAAAAATAGAAAGAAGGAGAATTTTTGAATATTGTTTAATGTGTATTTCCTGTTAATTTATTCCCCTTGAACTAGAAGAATAAATCACATTCCATCCCATATGAAATTTTCCCTTGACCAGATCAAAAGAAGAAATTCAGAACAGCAAGGAAAGATTCTTCTTTGTTTCAATGGTTATACAGATTTTATGATTTTAGCTTAATGTTTGAGTTGATTCTGAAAAAACTATATTTTAATCATTATATGATGTTAAGTAGGCTAGAGAAAAGAAGTTATATCCAATCAATCAAATAGGAAACATGAATGGGGAAGAGTTGAAGGAGATTGAGAGAGTTGAGGGAGAGGACGTTGAAGAGATTAGTAATGAGCAGGAAGATGTGAAGAGAATTGCACCATGGACAAAACAGATAACAATTCGAGGACTTGTTGCTAGCCTAGTTATTGGCATCATATACAGTGTAATTGTCATGAAGCTAAACCTCACAACTGGGCTAGTCCCCAACCTCAATGTCTCGGCCGCTCTTCTTGCCTTTGTTTTTGTTAGAACATGGACTCAGCTGCTTCATAAGGCTGGAATGGTTCCTACTCCTTTTACTCGACAAGAAAATACTATAATTCAGACCTGTGCAGTTGCTTGCTATAGCATTGCTGTTGGAGGTTTGTGTGCTTTTTATCAAGTCTATTCATTTTGCAATCAATTTTTTTAATTTCCTAGCATGGTGATAATTTGCTTGAGCTTATGTTATCTGATTCTTGAATTGCAGGTGGTTTTGGATCTTATCTATTGGGTTTAAACAGGAGAACATATGAGCAAGCCGGTCCTGATACAGAGGGGAACAATCCTTTGAGTATCAAGGAACCTGGGATTGGCTGGATGACTGGTTTCCTTTTTGTTAGCAGCTTTGTTGGGCTTCTGGCTTTGGTTCCTCTCAGAAAAGTATGTTCAATTACTTCTTAAAGGTTTATCATGTCTGAGATGAATTAATGTTAGGTTCAAATGATGGAATCATTGAGTTTTAGTTGGTTTAGTTTGTATCTCTAACATAATCTGAAACTGCTAGTAATTATTGACATAAAATTATTCCCGATGAACTTTGAATCATGTGGTCATGTAATTTTTGTTGTCTCAGATCATGATAATAGACTACAAGCTAACTTATCCCAGTGGAACTGCAACAGCCATTCTGATAAATGGGTTTCATACTCCTAGAGGAGATAAGATGGCTAAGTATGAGTCTCTGATGCCAAATTTCCTTCTTTTATTCAAATTTAGCACCAAAGTTTGAGTTTGAGACAAACATGTATGATCATTCTTGCAGGAAGCAGGTTCTTGCGTTTATGAAATTCTTTTCCTTCAGTTTCCTGTGGGCTTTCTTCCAGTGGTTCTATTCTGGTGGAGTTGCATGTGGGTTCGCTCAGTTTCCTACATTTGGCTTGCTAGCATGGAAAAATTCGTGAGTACACTAAAAATTTCTAGGCATTTTGGGGCTTAACAGATATGGATCTTTTCAACTACTTATCATTGATTGGAGAAAAGTTACCTTTTGCAGATTCTATTTTGATTTCAGTATG